TGTCTCATCTGTTACACATTGGTTAGAATATGTATACCACTTCATGTGCATGATAATTGTTCTCCTGAATGTACTCTTTAGAACATTCTCGCTTTGTCCTTGGTGCTCCTAATTTGAGTATTCTCACGAAACGATCGTTAATATCCATCCACTTTGCTTGAACCCAGAATATACTGATCATTTTATTAGAACACTAAGCGTTTGTAATTTGACTGCTTTATTTAGATGCGATTTCCTTCAACAAATATCGACAGTAGTCGATAAATCAACACCAGCGAATTTTTTCAAAGTTGGATCCTAAAAAACAGAGCATTTTGGGAATATCAAAAGTTACTTTTCTACATTTTTACAACTTTATTTTGGGGTGCAATTCTTCGCTATTTGCAGTTCATCTTGTGATCGCTAGCACCCATATAAGAATTCGCTACAGGACCTAACCCTCCTCATAGATATCGTTGGAGTACTAAAGGATATTCGTTGACGACTGCCCCGACTCGTGCAATTACACCATCGTGGGCGCGCCTTTTTGAAGCCTTTCCAGCATGACAGTATGCTGCAGCGCGCGGGGACTTGAGAGCTCGCAGCATCATTGCCCTTTAATCTTTTTCGTCTGTTAGACATTTCACATCGTTTTTTTTTTCTTATTTTTCGTTCCAGGCAGTTACACATTTTAATAACTATGTGAGACCATCGCCGCGGGCAAAATTAGAAGAAAGATGAGCTTTCTTCGTAGTTGCAGTGGTGGTTATCATGGCATGATTAGAATTGCATGCTTTCTTCGATGTTTTACAATGACTTGACATGTTTCTTACGACGGACCATTGAAATGGTTGCTTCAGCACTCTTATAGCAGGGACACCATGTGGAAAATGAACATTCAAGTGATCTCATGTAAGGAAATGCATGATAGCCACTATTACTCATGAAAAGAGCATATGTTTCCACCTAACTTACCCGGGGCGATGATTCATGATTTAAAAATGAATGTTTCTTACGTAAAACGGGGGAATAATTCAGGAAATGTGCCCAAGGTAGTTTTTCCCTTACCTTTCAGTATTCAGTGAAGTAGAACGTAGGATATTTGATCACCAAGAGATACTAAAAGATAAGGAAAACGAATTACTGCTCAAATATAAGAAGTAAGAAGGAAAAACGATATGAAATGCTCAAATTAAGAAGAAAGGTTAAAGGACAGTGTTGCCGCTAGCCACTGAGTCCCAGCGCGCTGCTCGTACTGTCCAGCTGGGAAAGGTTCCAAAAAGGCGCGCCCACGGTGGTGTAATTGCACGAGTCGGGGCAGTCGTCAACGAATATCCTTTAACAAATCACATAATGTACTTACTTTTGACGGCTAAACAACTTCTGTGTCACATGCTCGTCCACAATGTTCCGGTGCTTAATGGCAAGGCCTTATGGGAGATTTTTTCTCAAAATTGCTTTTAACGTTTCATTGTTAAGAATGTATTAGAAGGCAGGTTTTTCTTTGATATGAACGTTCTACGCAACAATGATGATTCAGAAGCAGCTTTGCAAAAGTTTTCTGCAGCCTTGATACTATGAAAATTGGCATTTTGAAACATTCTCAATGCAACTTTTCCGAAATTTTACTAGCAAACTTCCGTTTCCCTATCGCACGACTACGAATTTTAGCGTTTTACAAAAAGAGTTTGCGTGCGACATTCGCTCGCAAAAACTCTTAAAGCCGTTTCTCATTCATAAACAAATAGAAAAGTCAAGGTTTTCGAATTTTTTTTACGACTTTGACTTCCTTTCCCGTGCTTCTTGCGAAATTCTGCAAGTTCTGGATGCTTTTTGTCATTGAAAAACATTTGGTTGTTAGGCAGTATTGAACCACATTACACATTAACAATAAAAAGAGGCAATAAAAGTAACGATGTGTGAAATTTCGCTTTTTTCCCGTGGGAACCTTCGCTACGACTTTGCAGCCGACTGGCTCAAAACACAAGGTCTGCTTTTTGTTTGAAAACTTATAGCAAAGTTTTCGAATTTGTGTCTCACCCAAAAAATTGGTATTTATCGAAGTTTACTTGGTGCAAATCGTTATTAGGCGATGGAGTCGGAGATTCTAAAGAATAGCGGGAGGGAGGGGGCGGGGGGGGGGGGGGGGGAAGGCGGAAGAGTGAAGAGCAAGAAATTGAGGAACTACGTAAGCTAAACAAGTGATCTTTATAAAGAACAGAGAAACATTATTGAAGAGGAGCAAAAGGCGCATCTCGTGCCATTTTGCGATATACTCTTTTTTCAGAATGAATTAAGTAATCAGGAAGCTTTCATTGAATTTTTTGAGATTGACGTCTACGCCTAATTGCTACTAACTGTTGTCGTCCATTTCACTTAGACTCATACTCGTCTGAAACTAGAAATTATATCGAATTCCGCTCTTGCTTTCTCTCGTAGAAGTTGTAGAACACTTTACATGTTCAGTGCAAGGTAAAATCACCTGTGCTCAATTTTTTTGTTGAGTTCCTCTGTAATCAAACAGAAAAGCTGTTGAGGCTGCAGAATGCATTTGTCATTTTTGCCATAGTAATGGCGGGAATTTGTGGAGTTTCTAATTAACAAGATTTTTCTTGAAAGATATGAGGGAAAAATTTTGTCATACCTGATATAAAGATCTTCATAGTTTTCTCTTGAAAGACTTTTTCACTTCTATATTGGCATGGAGGACTGTAGCTTTTAGATAGGTATAATACAAGTCACACACACAGGGCTCGGCACGAGTTGGCACCAGGGAAATTTCAAAACGAAGTCCCGTTTGATCTTAAAAATTTCGTACGAAGTCCCCTTTGACTTGTTTTGAAAACCCGTCATTATTTTTATATTATGTGAAGGTATGTAGTAGGGTTTTCATGCATGCTGATTTCATGGAACAACTTTTGACAGCTTTCTGAGCTTTTTAAGTGGTCGAATCAGATCTTGAGAAGCAGAAAAAGCCGATTTTTTGACTGTAGAGCAGGCCGAGTAATTTTCAAATGGCTATAAAACGCTGAAATGAAAACATTATGAAGCTGTTTCTTCTCTGTATGTAATCTTTTACAGTATAGATACGTTTTATGTAAAAAAGTATGAAAACTTATGTGAGCAAAGTATCGGTGCCAGCTCAGCTGGCACCCAGCTGGCACGGTGCCAGCTAATTCAGAAAAAAGTTCAGCACAGCTTTCATTCACATAAGTTTTCATAAATGTTTGGGCCTTAGTTCGGGTCCAACCAACGCGCATGCACACACCAAATTTGGTGTCATACTATTGCGTTTTGGCTGAAAACAGCGCCTTCGTTTGTTGGTGGAAGCATGCCGGTGGCATGCCGGCGGCATTTTTGCGGCACTTCTCCGCCTCGGACCCCCTGAAAAACGACACCCCCTTTGCTTTCCCCCCTAAAAACGATATCTAGCTTGACCCTTTGCCAGCTGTGCCGAGCCCTGGTCACACATGAAAGAGATTATTTTCAATCCTCAAATTTTTTTGAAATCAGTTTTGACAATATCCAACGCATTATAAAAAGCTTATGCTTCCGAAAGTCTTCATATGTAATAGCGCCGCTGTTCCCGAATATCCGTAAAGGTATAAAAGATGAAAAAGTAGAATGAAAGAGTCAGGAAGAGGGAAGCTGCAGAGTTCTTATAGAATTGTCCCAAAATTGCGTAAGTTATCTTCTGTGTAGCCGTTTGTCATCTCTTATATCGCAAATATGAGATTTTGTTAGAATTCCGGTTTTCTTTTCTTAAAAAATTGCGAGAAAGTGTAAAAAGGCTCGCAACCAGATAATGTACCAGAGACTACTGTGGATAGCCGAAGAAATTCGCCAACTACTTGAACCTAACTCTCTCTTTGACCTTCCCTCCACCTCATCCACTTGCTTGATTTTGGCTTTTCATAATCCGTAAAACAAGTAGCCTTCAAACTTTTTCTGTACCAAGAGAGCCCTTACCCTAGTGACCAGTCCCTATGGCTTCCCGCCCCCTCCCCTAAATCTTTGCACTATTGTATGCTTTGACGTAAACGAAGATGGTATTCTTTACGTTCCTATTGTTGAAATGGAAATGACATGCTATTTCCTACGTTCTCTCATTTCCATTTTTGATTCCACAGCAGTGGCTGCATATATTTATTGCACTAAAGATTTCATCAAATCATCACGAAAGAAAAAAGTTGCGATCTTTGTGGTCGATTAAAATTTCATCCTTGTCATCCACATATTGCGAACTTCCTGTTGAAAATAGTAAAATATGCATAAAGCTGTGTCTTGTGATCAGATGCGATGTTTTCTTTTCTTCTCGTTGGAGATGCTAGCTGAATAGCTAAGATCTGCTATGCAGATAAACCAGAATGAGGTTTTTATTTACTCTCATTTTCTAGGATGCTTTTGCGCTTATTGTTTTGTAGCCCGATTTTTGCGGATTATCTAGGAAATGCAACTTTTTTGAATGTGTACGACTATAAGTACTGCTTAACTTATGAAAAACCTTGGGAATTATTCTCACACATGCAATTTTACGTGATGTAGTCCTCGTCAACTTGGGAGTCGATTAGAAGATTGGTGGAATGCTATATAAGTACGGTAGCCTTAGCTAGTACGAGTTATTGTGATTTTGCCTTCTCATAAACTTTTGCGATTCACAAGCATCTCAAGATTAAAGATAATTCTTTTGTGCTGACTTGAAGACAATGTTGCTCTTTTTACATTCAATCAAATGAAACTTAGATGATCAGTTCTAATCGGGATGTACTCGTTGTAGCTAATTTTCATCTGTTTTTTTCTCCACTCCGCACAAGTATCAGAATAAAAGTAGTTGATATCAAGCAGATATTGCTCAGCAGATTACTTCAATTTCCCAAAATTTACCTAAAATTTCATATATTTCAAGCTGACAATTTGATCTGCGATCTCGCTTCGCGTGTGACGAACTCGTCTATCTCGTCTATTCTTTTGACTATTGTTTCACAGTGTCTTTACTTTAACCTCAACATTTTTCTTTTCAGATGGACTGCAAAGATCCGCCGATCTTTGATGTGAACAACAGCCTCACTCAAAATGTGTTACATACCTTGTTTCTATTTCAACAGTGAGTTGGAGCTCTTTTCTCAAAAAAATTGTTTCGGATGAGAACAAGAAAAATAAGCAATAGAAAAGTCTTTTTCTCAATAGGACAATGCTAGGCAAACCTCTATCTTCCAAAGAATGGAATAAGGAGTTGTAGATTCAGTTTACAAAAAAATTTGAAAATTCAAGGCGGCATTCATCAGCGATGTGGTTAGCAAATACTGATTTGCTCAAGGGAAAACTATCTTGTATTGGGCTGAACGGGGAAGTAAGGGACTCCCTTGATTTTTAATACATTTGAGAAATTTGAGAACAATGAGCAGGTTGCAACTAGAAATCTTCATACATAATGGGCCTTTGCCTGATATTCTAGCGAAGCGTAACCACTTTTCTTTCATAGACCTTGGAGTTAAGCCTTGAAGAAGTTCGGACTAGGTTTTTTGTTTGAACATCCCCCAATCCTGCGCTGCTTTACAGTAAATCATAGAGCAAGTAACATGCCACCCGAAAAAACTCCTCTAGCTCTTGCGAACGATTTATCGAGTGTTAGGAATCTTCGTTTTCAGGTTAAAAAGGGAACTTGAAAAAGGGCAATTTTTTGGCGCAGTAAAAGACTAAAAAATCATGTTTTAACCTATATTTTCCGAAAACGAATAAACGTTTTGATTGACTGCATATAGGCGTAAAGAGTTCTACAGATTGTGCCAGGAAGCGTTTACTTGCAAATGAATAAATAGTAAGTGTATCCGCTCTCGAAAAGGCGAATGACCATATCATCTTCTGACTTACCGAGCCAGCGTAGGTTTGGTAACTGTCCCCTCACACCCATTGTAGCAGTGGTTTGGGCAGTCTCACATGTTTTACTGCGCAGATACTGATAAAAAATCATAATTTGTTGAAGTGATTGACTTCGCTTTTCGGTAAGTATAAAAATCAGTAAACATGTAAATGAATTTATATAGGTAATGCCTGAAAGAGAATAATATGCTCTGACATCTACCAAAATCGCAGCGCAATACTTTTTTCTTCCATAACAAATTGGTCTCTAAGTGTCGCATTACTTTCCGTTCACCCTTATACCATCTACATCAAACTTGTTCTAATTTTTCGCTCAGTCAAGTACAGCTACGTTGCTTATGCAAAAGAGCAACATTCTTAGTTGTAGAAATCTATTGATAAGGAGAACAAAGAGAAAACTCATCGAAGTGATCTTCTCTTGAGACAACCCAGTAGCCATGCTAAGTTTACCACTACAACAGTAGTTCTAAATTTGATTTTTTCTACAAAATCAATTTTTTACGCACATTTTTCAAGCAAACTGGCAAATTGAAAGAAGAACTCGAAGCAGCTTTTCAAGCGAATTTGCTGAAATTCACACATTCAGACTCGCACAGATGACTTTTTCTCATAGTCCTAAAAACCGATTTGTAGTTGTCCTACAGACTCCCACGCACTCAGCCCGGTTGCTAGGAGTAAATGGAGTACAAGAGTGTCTTCGCATTTTCCCGGTAGTACAAATCTCAAAGGTACAATCTCCGTGAGAATCCAATCAGAAACCAAGTTGTTCGAAATTTACTTCTTTCTCCTGGTGCGAATATTTGATGGAATAGGTTCACTCCGAAAATAAGCTTTGCGGGGGACCTAATCAAATCTAAATCTGTGCTTTTCTTCTAAACTACTGTGCCTTTTTTTCAAGTTTGACGTCCGCAATTGGGTTAAAGAGCTGTACCGCGTTGAGGAAACTTACGTAGAAACATGAGCGCGAGAAGGGGGAGAGGGTGAGGAGGGGATAAAAGGAGAGAAGAGAGAAGAACACAAAGAGAAACTGTCAAACAATATTCATACCTTACTCGTAGAAAGGAGCCGAAAGAAAGGGAAATAAAATATCCATTTTTAGAAAAAATGGCAACCAGTTCCTCCTACTCCCATCTTTCCTATTCAAACTAATTTCCTTTTAGGACCTACTCATCACTCCACCGATACATTGCTGTGATATTATGCTTATTCGGGTTGCTGGCGAATTCCATTCACATATGGGTGTTGACTCGACCCCGGATGCGATTCAGCTCAGTACACACTGTGCTAGTGTGCATTGCTCTTTCAGATATGGGCACTATGAGTTCATACATGGTCTGTTCCAAAACTACTTCGAAGGAATGGATAGGAAATTAGTGTAATTGCAGATTTACATGACTCGATTCGAATTCATGGTCGATCATACGGGTTATCCTTATGGCTGGGCACTCTTCTTGAAGGTAGGTGCAACTAACAATTCGCTAAGAATCAATACAAACCCACATAAATTGAGATTTTCAACTATTTTTTTTTAGACCCAAGATCTTCGCATTAATATTAGGTTGGCTAATAAATAATTTCGGTCGGTTTTGCGGTTCCTAAAACGCTGCAGATAATTTTTTGTTCAGTATTCGGTACCGCTGGAAAGATCTCTTCAATGAGAATTGGGATATGAAATTTGTTTGTGTAGAATTGATTTCGCAATGAAAAAACCGCAAAGAAGTGAGAGACGCCAACTTTCTTATTGTGCGCAATTATGAAAATTTTTATTTTTCCGGTCATAGATTTTGAAATGGCAGGTCACAATTTTCGTTGATGGTAGCTAAAAAAGGAAAATTTGTCTGTCAAATACCAAATTGCTGTTCTCCACATTCATTAGAGCATGAAAATGAAGCTTCGAAAGTTGCAAATTTGAGCTTTTGGATTTTTAGCCATGTTGGGGCGTAACTGTCCCTTACTGAAAATATAAAATTCTGTTTAGTTGACACGTGACAGAAGAAGCTGAACTACTTATCCACAAATCATGTGTAAAGAACAACTAGGAAAGTTTCTATGAAGATTTTCATGCCAAAACGAAATTATTTTGTAGCCAATCTGATATCACTCAAACATTTGTTGTTCAAAAGGCTTATCTTTCGAGACCTACATCATTCACAAAAAAAGCAAAAAGAAAGATATGTTCATGAAGAATACAAAATAATAGTAGTAGATTGTACCTAATCCATTCATTTTTCCTGCTCAGAAACCACAAAACTATGAATATACATATTCTGGTCGGTTTAATGTATACTATTGAAGCACTTTTTTAAGAAAAGAAATTCCTCAGGTCTAGAATAAAAGAATATAGTTTTTTGTTCATGTTCTGCTACATCCTTCAGCAAGCGCTTCTGACTTATTTTGTGAGAAATTGTATTTTAACATCATTGGAAGCGCTAAAACGGAATCCACAAACTCTGCCTCGCATTTCATGAAAAACTACTGCTTTGAGCCAATTATCCTTTTTATGCGATGAGTTTCTGAACTTAGCGGATGCTCAAAAACTTAATCGAGTATAACGCTATTAACATCAGCGGACTGGGTCCATCTGTTAAGGGCAAGTCTGACCGAATTCAAAGAACGTACACCCAGTATTGTTTGCCATAGGCTTCGTAACGTTTAACGTTTCCATTTTTGCGCAATTCGGACTAGGGAAGGAAAATTTTAGGTTTCAAGTAGTTTTGATTATCGCGCGAAAACTTCATAGTTTTCAGCATAGCTTTTACCTAAGCAGACAACGTCTTGTTTCTGAACTTAACAGTATCAGCTGAAAGCTTCTAGAATTTTAGACAAGATATTCCTCGAAAATGAAGTTTCAGATAGAATTTTCCTCAAAAACTTGGTATTATAAGTTTGCCCCTCGGTGAATTTTTTTTATCAAAATTGTATTATGCAACGATAATAATCTACAAGGGTGACGCAAGACCAAGGCAATGCCCAAGATATACAGGGTGTTCCAAAAATTGTGCCTACTGTCTGATTGTCAATAACTTCTTTCTCAGGGAGTCTTTGGAGAAGCTTTAGGTACCATATAGACCTAGCTTCTACTCAAATTTACAGCATGGAATCAATCACCGGACTAATTCCTGCTTGTGATTACGGTAGAAACCTTGAAGAGGGTTCTGACTCATAAGGCTTTTTATCAAGAAAGACCGAAGCCAAAACTTTCATATCAAGTTCACGCCTCTTTTAAATGTTATAACACGTAAGTCGTAGTAGCTGCTTTCCAAATGTTCTTCTAAAACGTGATTACAACAAGCAAAATTTGAAAACTGTGTAACGCAACATGCTCGGAACCCTTACACAACTTTCCAGATTTTTTTTTTGATATTTTTTCCATCAGCGGCTCAGTTCAAAATGGCGCTGTGCCCTGGAAGTTCCTATCGTAATCCTACCGTAACGAAGAGAGATCACGACGTCCTATACTGCAAACCTAAAAAGCCACCCCTACAAAAAGGTTCCTAAAGGTTTTCCAAAGCTTCATAGTAGAAAGCTATCAACGATCAAAAAGTAAGCACAGTTTTTGGGACAATCCGTATGTGAACAAAAGTACAACAAAGTTTTACACCACGATTTGCATATCTAAGTAGCACATTTAACTATCTAAGTAGTGCTTAAGAGCAGATGGAAAGTTGAAAAAAGTGAAGCCGCTCTATCGTAGTTCAAGGTCATAAAAGACTAAATGAACTGACTTTGAAAACCATTAATCTTCGGACTCCATAGATGAAAGGGATCACCAAGGCGACCAGTCGAGAAGAGAATCTTGCTCCAAGCATTCCAGCATATATAGATAACCTTAAGAAGTGTGGGCTTGAGCGAGGGGACTAAAATATTGGGTCTAGAAAACTGGCGTCAGTGAATATTTACGATATTGTTGTAAATTCTGCCAGGTGAAAAAAATGAAGATTACATGTATAGAAGGGATAGCAATTCTTGGGGTTAAAACAAATGAAAAATTGAAATGGTGAAAGCACCTGCTTAAGTTGATATGTAAAAGGTTGCGATTGCGTCATCATTCCATAAATTACAGTAACACTGAACTAGTTCTATTTGATTACCAAGAAACCCTCTGACTAATTTTGTTTTATCATGATGACGTCATAGCCCTTCGTCAAGTAATCTGCGTCTGTACTTCTGGTCATTTCAGATCCACGTAGTGATTTCAATTGCACTTCATGCGATCACCTTGTATCTGGTGGTCCTCATGGCTTTCATTCGATTCTGCGCAATGCGATTATCGTCGTCAGCATGGTTGCAGTCGAAAAGGGCAATGTGAGTTTTGTTCAAGATATTATCAGATTAGAAACAGATACAATGGGTTTTTCTTGGTTTTGGTTTTCGTTTTTGGGTCGCCGAAAGAATTGGATTTTCTGCTTTTTTGAATGGGGCTTGGGTTTTGGAATACAATCAAGAAAGAAACTGCGTAGGAACACATTTCAAATTCAATTGTCACAGTAGGCGATCCTATATCGTTCAGCAACTGAAAAAAACTTTTTCGTTGTTGAACGCAATTTAGAGGTTGCTTCTCCTAACTCATTCATTATTCGATTTATTCGACATCTTTGATTGTTCGGGATTACTATTTCTACCCTCTTCACTACCTATAGTCCCAAAATTTCAGAAAAGTGATATTCACAAAGCTAATCTTTGAATTTTGTGTATTTTCGAATTCGAAAATTAGTTCAATTATTCACAAATAACCCTGCACTTTTTATAGCTCAAGTGTGTAATGCAACTTCCAAATCTGTCTTCACAATTCTACGTTGTCGAGGATGAATACCGAGCCCAAATTTGACTATTATGGGAGGGGGGGGGGGGAGGGAGACGAGCACGTTGAACCTTTCTTAGTATTACAATGTTTGAATCAATCTATTAATATTATCCCATCGATCTTCCATAAATTTCTTTAAGTGTCAAATTTGCGTGGTGTACCTACCCAACTACCTCTCCAAGAAAATTTCCTCCAGAACCGTTGGGCAGTTCCGCTATGCAAATTGCCGTCGCTGGCGACGAAATTTTATTTATTGAACTATTCTTCTGTCCATATAGAAAAAATCCTCCGGCCTCCTAAAAACTAATTTCGTTCCTTTCCAGAAGCGCTGCCATCGGAATCGCTATAAGCGTATTTGTGCTGTGCATTCCAACATTGTTAGCACATGAGGTTGTTGCGAGAAAAGTAACATCGACTCAAGGGGAGGAAATGACACGGTACAGGTACGGTAGCCGAATAGTAGACCCTTTCAACTTTCCCTCGAAGGAAGCTTTCCAGAAGATGATCTGACCCTATTTTAGCATTGGATTTTCCGAAATGATGCTGGAAAATGGATGCTTCCTTATGAAAGGGAATTTATGGTTGACCGGAATTTTCTTGAAGGTACACAAATTTTTTCGTATTCGTTTTTGAAAAATTTTCTGCTAGAAAAAGCAGAACTAAGCTAAGCTCATTTTTAACGTTTACAAATCCCAACAAAATTCTTTTCTCGTGACAAGCCTGATCTGGTGAAAAAAGGGGTGTGGGCCGCACCGTAATGCTGTTCCGCTACTTCCATGCAGGATCGCTGTTGCGCGCGACGCCCTCTGTGGCGGTTTTTGCTCAAGCAAAACCAGGCGGGAGGAGAAATCTGCCGTATGAAACGTTAAGACAAGTCATAGTGTTAGATACTGTAGTGCAAAAAGGCCGTCACCTCAAAAAGCGTTATAAGCCAATAAATAGACTAAAGAGCAAATAAATAGACAAATCAGCAAGTTTCTTCACAGATACGCTATAAAGCGATTTTGGAGTCCCAAAAATTTTCACAGAAAATTTTTTTAGTTTTATACCGAATTGTAAAGAATTCGTTCTTTGCATCAAATCATCAATCTACCACTTTAGGCGATCCCATGTGCTCTTCTGTTTTGGTTCACGATAGCTTTGATTGGACGAATGAAGGAGAACAAAGAAAAGCGAACAAAATTGCTCAAAACCCGCGACGAAAAGAACAAGCGTGACATCACTACCTACATGTACGTCATTCCGGGCCATTTCTTCGCAATTACACAATCAACTTCGCTTTTGCAGGCTTGTTTTCATGGTCACCGTTTTTCTAATCACCGAACTGCCTCAAGGCGTCATGGCTGTGTTGAATGGTAAGTCCGAGTCACTTACACTCTAAGGGCATAGCAGTGAAATTGAGAAGAACAAAGAACTTAAAAAGCCGGCATGGCCCTGGCTCCATTACGCGAATTAGCGTCATTTACGCATTTACGGCCCTTGGGGCGAATCCGTCTGAAGAGCCGCCGCGTTGCACTATGAAAATGTTGCCCTTCTGAATATGAGCACACACATATAACAGTCATTTATGTGTGAAACGCAGTGCACTCAGCTAATAAACCCTTGAGGTTTGGGGGCAATTGCCCTTCAACGAGTGACTTTCTGAAAAACTCGTGTCTCTTAGTTTGGGGAAAATGTGAAAAATGCTTAAACTCAAGTTAGAGTGGCAGTATTCTATGTAATTATAACAATCTCTTCAAGCATGAATGAGTAGGAAATTTCAAAAATAATCTATTCTGCAGAATTGTCTGAATAAGCAAAGTTAACGCTGATTCTAACGATCTCATGCGCAGTGGCGGTCGTAGGATTTCCGTTCAAGGGGGGGGGGGCAAAAAATTTTCCAAATTAAGGTGCATGGATTAGCCATGAACTCCTAAAGCTTTTTTGGGGTGCTCTTAAAATTTTTGAGGCGCAGTTACCAATAAATTCTAGAGGGCCACACCCACGAGAAAAATTTCACAAGGCTAATTTAAATGCTCAAAAAATTTGAAGAATTATTTTGAATTTGCAAAATCAAACAAGTTACTTCCACATTTTTATAACCCATGTAAGTAAATTCAAAAAATTTCGCGACCCATTCTTGGACGCCCCCCCCCCCCTTTGGTCCGCCACTGACTAAGGAATCTTGGACGAAGGGAAAGGAAGAAGGCGGGAGGGAGGGGGGGAGGGGGGGGGGGGGGGGGAAGAGGGAAGGGGAGAGGGGAATTTCGGCGATCTGTAGTCATAAATGTAATGATTTATCTGTTGATATAAACCAATTGTACGAATGCTAAGGAAATTTGATTAAGCTTTGCATAAAAATTTTAGTGGAACATGGTTACTGCACATGCTTGGGATTTTTCTATTACATCCTTTTTCCGAAAAAAATCCGAGGACCACGCTTAGTGAAAACCCGTATATTAGGTTCGAAACTAAGTTTTGCAACTGCTTTCATAACTTGACCCTCTTTCAACATGTTGCACTCAAACTTTGGCTATATGTAGATCTCAATGTGTGCTACAAGCATGCACAAACTGTTCAATTTTTTAAAACGAAATAAAAAAAATACAAGCATTTTTCCGAAAATATTAAATTTCGAGGATTTATGAGTTTTTGAGCAAAAATGAAGCCATTCGCGACCCACATCATGCATAGTGATCCGAAATTACATGTGGATTATTGCTTGAGGTTGACTCATTCGGCTCAGTAGGAAAGGAATAGATTTGAAAGACAAGTCGAAATCTGGCGCTCTCACAAAGTTGAAGTACCCAAGGCTAGTGGGGACAACCATCAATGGCTAAGAAGTGGGAATGTCGTAATCCGCGGAGACTTCACAAAGTGAGGTTATTCGACCTGTTAAACACGAATACCACTTTCGTTTGTTAAATTAAAGTCTTTTTTATTGATTAAGGTGAGACCCCACACCGTCAAAGTACACTAAATTTACAAGAAGGCCCTCACCATGCAAATTCTGCATGTTATTCGTGATCAGCATGTCGGAAACCCCCCCCCCCTACGCCAAGTTTCAGCCAAATCCGTAATGATTTGCAATTTTCCCCTTCATACCGTATACCTACCGCAATCCTCGCTGCGACGTCAGTTTGACGGAACAGCAGCTATGTTTGTAGCTTACGTTATAAACAACATAATGGCAAAATTTGAGTGCCTCATATCAAATGAGAGCAAGATTATTTAGTGAGTTGCACAACTTAGTTTCCAACCTAATATTACATGTCTCTCAAAGCATAGATTTTCAATGGCTCTTTTTACTCACATTGATTAGTGATTACTTCATATGAACCATTGTAATAGAACCTTTACATTTGCAGATGCTTTTCGCTTTTTGAAAAAAAAATTTACATACTACTTACTGTCCTTTTTAGCGAGCGAAAACTGCATATTTTCCAAAAATCTTGTAAAATAAGAAAACATTGACAAATATTGGTCTTTCCTAAAATACTTTTATTTGGTCGTATCATAATTATAGAGGTGGAAAAAATCTCCAGTATTTTATCTGTTTTGATTTTTCCCAAATGAAGTATTAGGATGCTGAGGTAAGAACGTTTTCGGAAGGAATGCAAAATAAACAGACAGTGATTCTTGTTTAAGAATAGCAGCTCTTTTCCGTCTTAGCTCACTCTTTTTTGAATCTCAAAAGAACTCTTGTTCCATAAAACATCTTTGCGCGCGGGCGGAATTGTAAACCACAAAGGACTACAATTTATAACATTTGCATAGAATGTTCTCGAATTTACATATGCAAACAACTAGGGAAGGAGCTGAAAATACGAGCATGTATTATAAAAAAGACCAAATACTTCCGAATAAAGACAGCTATTTAATGTTATTCCACAAGCCCGGAATTAGATTTTGACTTTTGACTTTGATTTTTTCTTGTAATGAAGAGATTTTTTTTAGCAATGTACACATCGCAATTCCACGCTTATGTCTACCTCTCCTTGGCGGATGTGTTGGATTTATTGTCGTTAATCAACTGCTATGTAGCATTCCTCGTCTATATTTGTACCAGTTCTCGTTACCGGCAAACTCTTCTATCTATACTACCAAATATGCCGTAAGTTCTCGTAATGGCTCTTAGTGGCCTTGAAATCAATTAAATTGAAAAATCCCTATTTAGGACAGTTCTTTCGGCCGTCACATCGCGTCAAAATACGATAAAGCGAGAAAAACTACCGTATACCACCCTAGACGGTACTCCATGTCCAGTCATCGAAACGCAATGCAAAGCGGAGCAAGACATGCTTTTGTAGAACAACGCAGGACCATTCTTCGTCCAAATACTTGCCTCGATAATTTTTACATTCCTTACAGTACCTTCTTCTTCATAAGACTCGATTCATATATGTGCATATTGCCATCCTTGCCAATGATTTAAAATTTTTTTGGCATGTTGCCAATTTACTGTTTGTATGACAATCCTTCTGCCAAAATTCCACACTCTTGCACGGTTGGAACTGCTCAACATAAATGTATAAGCTTTATTTTCAATTTTTCTGTAAAAATTTATATAATCTCTGTGCAATGTGAACTGACCACGAAAATCAATATGTCAAAGTGATATCTCAGTATACAACAAGAAATAAGAGTGAAGTTCCAATTACTGAGAAAAGCGAGAAGTGGAATGGCGTGGATTTGCTGGGTGACACTGTCGTTTCCGTTTCTGTAGTGACTGTTGTTGTTTCACTAAAAAATTTGATTTGCAAAAAAATCAAGCCTTTGCGGAAACTACGAGATAGGGAGTCTGTGCTCAAAGCAAAGTTGTTTTAAGGAAGAAACTACCAAAAGCTCTTCAAGTCCGAAAGAACATGGAAAATTTCCAAAAGGTTTTTGTTCAGAGGAAAACACGAAACAAAATATGTATAGAACCCAAAAGCATATAACTACGAAATGGAACAATTTCCTCACTACTAAGCTTTTTTTATTTGTGGAGAATTGACGAAAAGCGTTGAAATTTTTTCGGAGGCAAAATGTCAGTGTTTAAAGTCATGCATTCAGAAAACTCGCACTCTTTTTACTCTATAAAAATGATGGAATTGACGACTCCGAACTTCGTTTGCTTATAAATAGCGTAAGCATTTAGGCGGACCACTTCAGCCCTGTTATTTCATCAACCTAGTTTTTTCCTTGGTAAATTTCAAACTAACTTTTTCCATAAATTGAACCCTCTGCAGGGAACATATAGATTAGGTTAGCCACATTTTCGAAGTCATTTACACACTGTCTCGAATCCAGGATGCTCAAACTCGATCGCACCACACTGAGCACATGACTGAGGAACGCAAATTCACTTTGCACATTTGCTTCTCATCCATTCACTGTGAAATAACTCCATAGAATTTGGTTTTTATCTCAAACAAAGTTTGCGACGCGCATAGTTTTGCGAAACTCTAAGCTACGCGTTATAGAATGCCTAAAATGGGACTCAAAACATGGAATAGCTAAGATTGTGGCATTTGTAAGCCTACTATTAGCCAGTTCTTCCATCTAAATTTTTGCATTTTCTGAGTCTAGTCGCCTGACCCAACCGGCGTTAATTTGTGAAAGGCAGAAGATAGCATCCGCACATTCTACAAAACAAGCTAGTGGGGTCTTGGCACGATAGCCTTGCCGTCTGCAACCATTGCAGCGGATACTACGGAGAATGCGCGGGCTGTCGTGATGGTCTTAAACTAACAAAAATTCCCCTAATGTTTTTTATTTTTTTAGTTTTACGTGCTTCTATTTTGATGTTTAGTGCTAGCATTTGCACTGCTTGTTATGTTAACCAACCCGCCAGTAATATGGCGCTCTCATTCCTTTTAACACATTGACGACAACGTGACCCACATGGTGTGTCCAATGACTGCCACGTGAGACAATGTGGCCCACATGATGAGTCACGGCTTAGATCTTGCTGAAATTTACAATTATTGGGTACCTTCGTTTCATGAGGTCTTTTACGTCCTGACCCTATAGAATACTTTGACGTTTCTTGGCTGCTTTTTCGAATTTATGTAAGTGTAGTATAGATGACGATTCACGTGATTTCAGCAGAAATTTTCGACTAATTAGTGGAAGGCATTGTCCCACAAGGCAGACAACTAAAAATGCGCGTTGTCGTCGAAGTGTTAACTCCGATTTCATTAGAGCCGCCCGAATTACTCGTGGATCTCGATTCCTACTCTCTGAATGCTTATGGGAGAACCCCGTCGTAACTGTTTGCAATGACAAAAGTCAAAAATCGTGCTTGTGCTGTCTGCCATGTATGCCAAGCTTCATTTTGGCGACTTGTAGCTGTGCTCACAAACGTCACCACTCTATTTGAACAGCTTTTGCAATCACTCTTCGCTAGTCATGCCTATGTTTCAAAGATGAAAAAAATACAAGGTGCATGCTGAAACGAGCGGGTGAAATCATGGTCAAGAAAGGAAAGATATGGATTGATTTGCAATATTGTATGAAAGCAAACCTTATCAGTATTGTCGTTTGCGCAGCGTCCGCGTTCACTGGTGCAACTGTCACAACAGTTTGCTCGCTTTCAGTAGATGGTTTCCCTGATTCATCCTCTTCAACCTGCACTCCAACCTGCCAAGTGACGACCGTATCATTGGCCACGGTATTAGGTTTCACAACGTCCTCGGATTTTACAGTCGTGAATTGTGTGGTCGTTGACATCGTCGTAGACGACATTGCATCCAGTGGCATACCATTCGGAGTTGGGGCGTAATGTTCGTCGCTGTAAATTAGGAAGATAGGGGAAGGACCTACCCGAAAGAAAACCGAAGGTAAAGAAAGTTTCAGCATGCAATGTCACATTTTGACAATCGTTAGTAAAGTTTCATCTATCACTGTATTCATCATTCGCAACTTTGGAAACATTCTAAATGGGCCGCACTTGCGCCTTTCTACCGTCTGCATGTCGGCTTAGACACACGTCATACTTGAATCCACTTGATTCCCTGATCTACTTGATCCAATTCGTTATTGGTCAAAATGGTGAACTAACCAATAGCGACGCGGATATACACTTAATCCACTTTATCTACTTTGCTAGGTCAGTCCACTGATTTGACCAATGACGAAGTGGATGGGGTGGATCAAGCGGATCAAGTGAATCACGCACTTGATGCCCCAGTGCACCAACAGGCTCCACCCTAAGCGGACAGCTGATACTACTTGCATGTTTACGTCTTATGTGAGATGCGCGTTTGTAGCAGACCGCGCGAAAACTCTCTTTTGGCGACATAACGTCCCCTACGCTTCGTGCGCCTCATAACAGATTCGCAGAGATCCGAACGCCATCCAGGCAGTGTGGCAGGTGACTAACCGACATGCTAATCAAGTTTTCTTTTGTTCCCTTCATAAGAATTTCAACTAATGGTGGCCTTCTTATGTGCATTTGATTACATATCTGATGACTGCACGTTGGATTAGCAGGGAACATCATGTCGCCCATAGGGTGCACTTGGGCGGACAACTGAAAGGGGCTGCAACGTGTGATGCACAATTGGTGGCAGATGTTCGCGCGAGAGGAGCCCATTGATGAAACATCTTCTAAGTTATATAACAGCTACATTTTGCTCATATATCCGCGCAACTTTATGAATATAACATCCAAGCTTACTGCTATACCATCAATATTATCTGAGCAAATGAAAATTTTTACATACCTACTCTTGATTCCAGCGGCGTCCGAGTCACCTGAAATGATCAAGTTAGTAGTGTTCGATGTTCAGACAGAGTGCACTTTCAAGCAGCTTCTCAGTACTAGCCTTGCATCAAGCGTTATACAGCTGCTTGCCTTTCAAGAATGGGAGATTTCAAATTCAAAATAGCAGAACTTTCAGGTACGTGTATAATATGTAATGTATTGTGCAGTAACATTTATGTTTGAGCTTTGGGGACACCCTTTAGTCGACATGAGTGAAGGATCAAAACAAGCAAGGTTTTTGGGTGAGAAGGTTCACAATCTTGATCAAGAAAATGCGCATCAAATCACATGCAAATTCAAAGAAATATTCACTCAATCCAGAATCCTGTTAACATGAGTGGGATGACTGAGGCAGACACTTTCACTATCGACAGTGACGGAACCTAACAATGAGGAGGAACGTGGAAGTGAGGTAAGAGATTGAAGGCTTGAAGTGTTGTCTGCTGTTAATCGACAACTACCATTGAACAAAGTTTCAGTAAAAATCGTAGACTCTTTGACTATGAATACATAACATTTGAGAAACACAACCATGATCAGAGTTGGAATAATGTCTTTGATCTCAGATGAGGCTGCGTCCGAAACTCAAAGGGCTGTGTTGCACTCAACAACTAGTGGAAATTTCTTGCTTATGAAGGGGTTGTTGTCTTTTTTCGTGATGAAAATGGAGATGTTGCAGGATTTTTGGAACATGCTGACAACTCAGACCTTTCTCCGAGATATCTAGCCTATTTTTCACTCCAAAAAACGAAAGAAAAATCAAGCTTCAGTTTATATGGATAGGATTGAGGGCGACCGATGATTAGCACAGACGAAGCTCTTGCCTTATAGGAACATGTGGAGGCGTCAGTCACTGAAGCAGCTTACACAGATGGGGCACATGCGAATACAATGGTCAAAAGATTTGGTATTCCTAGGATCGCTCAGTGGGCACATGTCAAATTCTATAGTCGAAGTAAACTACGCAATGTTTTTACTAGCGAGGATCCGTTTGATAAATCAGTGCGTTGGTGTGGGGGGGGGGGTCAGTTTGGTGCCGATTAACCGTCAAAGCAGGCAGAGAACTTGGCCTAAGAGGTCTCAATTCCACCGGTCAAAACGCTATTCCATTGTCAAAGGCATTGTCTGGAACTCTTTAGCAAAGAAGGGCTCTTCTTGTAAGTTCTTCCGAGCTTTGCACTCCTTTTGTTTACTATTCTTTTGCGGCGTAGATGCAAATGAGACATTTCTTCTACCCCTGTGCTAGATTTTGGAAGATCTTTCTTTTGCTTTCTATGCATGAATATTGATATCTAGTCTATGTTTACAAAATTGCAACATCGAAGCGGTACATTGAGAAAGACGGAGAAGTTACAGAATACTTTTTTGATGGGCGACAGTCGCTCATTTGTACCCATAATCGCCCATGAAGTTGAATGGAAGCTATGTGCCAATGGGTTGAAACGAAAGGTGTTGAGCCTTGTTGCAAGTGAAGAGGCCTTACTGATATAAAGTTACATTTCGTCTTCAATTTCTAAAAGACAATGAAAAATTTCAGCATTCTGTGTAAACTACCTCTCTTCCGCATGCACGCCGTACTGGATAAGAGGAAAGAAGAAGGGAGGAAGTAGGAAAGCACAAAAGTTGTACTAGACTTCCAGCATGAATAGAAAGCCCGATCTATCCTATTTTTTCCCTAGGAATCAATAATTTCGAAAAATCAGAAACAATCGTTCTAAAGAGCTGCAAGCTCTGATTATACTTTGTGCTCTTAGAGCAAGAAAATGTGACTCTCTACGTAAGCTATCAATAGATTCTAGTATGTTGTGAAATAAGTAATCAACTGCAGGATTTCACAGTAGGTTTGAGGGAAAAGCAACGGGGTTTCCTGAGATGACAACCAGAATTGCAAAGGCAAAACGAACTAAGAAAAAATAAGATGTGCAAGCGACTTGTAAGGCAGTCAGGGTGGGAAAAATGAAGCATAGCTGGCTAAGCGGTAGATGCCAGAGAGCGTTTGAACGAAAGAACTGAGCTAAATGTAATGTGTGAAGCAAGAGACGGTGGTTTTCCGTATTTTGCAAATAAAACATCCCCTCTCAAATCTCATTTTTGGTTTAACACCTATCGATTTCAAGGCAAATGTGGTGCAAAACTTACCAGAAGGTAATATGGTCTGCATCGTTGCCTGCTCTAAATGGAAAGATTTAGTCACTTTAGAAACCTACAAAATAACTCGGGTTTACCGACGGAGGCTGAGACCTACGTAACGATACATTCAGTTTATTTCTACACTGACTGAAAGAGCTTACGTGAGAACTGAAAGATAAACACAAGCAGCGCAGCAAGAAACAGTACCCACGATGAGTGATCGTCTAACAGGCTCATAGCAAGTCAGTGTACCGCAATTCATTTCTACTGTGAATTCATCACAGATTCATTATGTAAACTTTACTGTTTAACTTTTGTTTACATGTGAGAGAAAAGACCACTTAAACTCGGTCTTTAAAGGAAGAGTTGATAGAAATATTGCTTGTAGCTTTAGAAACTCGGTCTTTAAAGGAAGAGTTGATAGAAATATTGCTTGTAGCTTTAGCAGTAACACATGTAAATATTTGCCATGACATGATTTAGAAACAGGCAACTTGGAATTGACTTACTTTTCGAAGGTTTCATTGAATGCTACCAAAATTGTAGAACACTTGTGTTCTACAATTTTGGTAGCAAGTGTTTTACAATTTTGGTAGCATTCAATGAAACCTTCCAAAAGTAAGTCAGTTGTGATTTTCAGATCTGTAGATTGAAAGATACACTTTGATTCAACGGGACTGATTGCTGGGAGACGAACGCTTGCACCCGCGACGCAGTCTGCGTCTCTCTCGCGAGCGTACTCTCTGATCATTTCCTAGCCTTGATTAGGTCTCTAAGCCCCGCCTTCCAGCCGCCAATCCCGTTGAATCAAGGGGTAAATGCGATGAAAAATGAATGAATTTAGTTCAGTGATCAACTTCTTACCTTGTTCACTTTCGTGAGTTGTTATAAGCGGCTGTAGCTGATGACCTTCAAGGAACTTTTCTTCTTGAAATTTAAAGTCGGCGATAGGAGAAGTAGGGCTATTACAGAAGTCCTTTGTGGTGCATGCACAAGACGTTTGATGTTCCTGCCTGAATGAAATTGTGCTCCGGATGACTTTTGATATGAATTTTTTAATCTGCTGCAAAGAGAGAATGCATTTTCGTTAACTTACTTGTAGCACACAGCAGGCGTTTCAAACTTTTCGCCTTCATGTAAATCTACGCAACCAGCAATTTTAGTTCCATTGTAAAACCTGTTGACAACTGGAAAAAAGCTGCTACATACAATAACATACTTGAGCTAAAGTTCAACCAACCAATATAACAAACATCTCCTTCACAAGTTTCCGTGCATTTAGTGTGACCCTTTGGTTCCGCGTGGAATGGACATTTTGTACAGGTTAATTTTGCATGAACAAATGCTATAGCAACTAAGAGAATACAGATAAATAACGCTCGAATCATCTGAAAGAGTGAAGACGTAAAAAATGCGGGATTATCCTGACGTCAGTGATATTGCTTCTCGGTAAGGAACAGAGGAACAAGAATGAGGCTTAGCGAAGAAGAGGAAGATAAAGATGAAATTGAATTATATGGCTATTCTTCAACTATGTAACACGATTTCGGATCCCGATTCCATAATTTTAGAATCAATATGAAAGTTAGTGGAGTTAGCGGACAGCTAAATAAGAGTATGCTTAACAATAGCACATCCAAAATAGAGGAAAGGGGAGATTACAAAAGTGTTTGCATGGTAATGGTAGTCTGAGATTAATACTCATCCGTTAATCAATTATCACAGTTGTACCAAACCCTATAATTCAGATAATTTTGACTCTGTCACAGATGAGTGAATCATCTCTCTAGTTGTCAGAGTAAAATGACGCTAACCCATGAAAGTGAGGCCAACAATGCCAAAATGTTAATGCGCTATATATTCTACTTTTCCAGCAAACACTTAAGATTTTTAAAACCCTTTCTTGGCGCCACCATTTGGCGGCTTCATCTTCGTAAGAACCTAGAAAGTCAAAATCAAAGCAATCTTTCTTCTCTGATATGACTTGCGGCGTATCTCACAACATGAATGCCATGCGAAGATTCAGTAGTTGCATTAGGTAGTTGCGTTTGTCAAAAGCTGTTCCCTATTATAAATGGGCGTTGGAAATTTGCGATTACTTGCGTGCCAGGTCGTTTTACTTTGGAATCAATTTGTAAGATATGAGAGCGCAGCAGGTTTAGAGAGTGCGAGGCTATTTTTTTCCATATGTCTTTTAGTAGAGCATATAGTTGAATTCGTCTTAGATGTCAGTCGTCAATTTCTTCCTTTGCACAGTGTATCCAGATTTCTAATAAGCGCTTACACATGCCTGCAGTAAAATCATTAAATCTTGGAATTCGAAAAAAAATCTTCTCCATGTTATGTTCTAGCCGGAAGCTCGCTCTTTCATGGTGTACATTTTCTGAATGAAGGATATTTTGGTTAGCTCTCAGAAAATACTTTATTAATGGAGAAGGCCTGCCATGCAACAAGCACATTCGCCATGATCTTGAAGGCCTACGTTGTCAGGCTATTTTATTTGAGTGCTACGCTATATTTGTTACAGTTTGGACACTGGTGTATCAGATCGGCTGCTAGAAGGCGGAGTCTCATGACCTAGGAGGCAATTGCTCGCGTCCGCGACGTCGTTTCCCTCGCGAACATGCTCTCTGATCATTTTCCAGCCTGAATTAGGTCACGGAGCCCCTTCTTCGAGCCGTCGATCTGATCGAAGCAAAGGGTACCTTTCCATTTTTAAAAATTGTGCTGAGCTGCAAGTCTTTTGACACACTCTGAATTTGGAGAGAAACATTGTCGTTTACCTCAGCTACATTCTGCCACGACTGTGTTATATGGTCTAGAAAATTTCTGATTTGAGTGAAAGAATCCAGATATAGAACGCAGTTTTGAAATTAGCGAGCTTTAGACAAAGCTCCAGACACCGGAACACGTCAACTCCAGACAGACACTTCTAGTAGTTCTCTTATAAGGTGCTACAGTCGTACATGCATTCCTGCGAAAACTCAAGCGATGCGGATGCGCATCAAGAGAATCTGAAATGTTAGCTGCGGAGGACTGTTATCATTTGTATCCCCGCTGACCAGTGGCGTACGAAGGGGGGGGGGGGGCGGGGTGGGGGCGCCCCCCCTTTCCCCCCCCCCCCCCCGAGATTGGATCCCCCCCCCCCAGAGAATCGCGAAATTTTTGAAAGCTACTTACATGAGTTATAAAAATGTGCAAGAGACTTATTTATACTTGTAAGTAATTGAAATAACTTTTAAAAATTTTTAAAAATTCAATTTAGCCTTATACCATTTTTCTAAAATTTTGGGGTTATGGACCCGCGAAAATCTCAAGAAGGGTACCAAAAAAATTTTTTTTCGCCCCCCCCCCCGAGCCGAAATCCTGGGTACGCCACTGCCGCTGACCTTGCGCGAGCGGGTACCAATGTGCTTCCAAAAATGCGGGAGGCTGTACTCTAGTAAACTATTTTTCTAATCCCCAAAGGTTGAAGAGCGTTGAGTCCTAAAATCGCGGGACCCCAAAGCGTGATCACTGCAGAAAAAATTCCAAAAATGAGTGTGAGGAAGGATGTACACTGCGACCAACGCATCCGCAATTCTATCATTTTGTTATTCTGAGCAAAGCTAGTTCACTCAGGTATGACGGCGATAAGGGACAATTTTGTTTGGGATTTCACTAATTACTGGTTTAAAGACCAGAAACCTACTTTTACCATTTATTCCAAAAAGGTCACCTGTTGACCTAAAGTAAGGACCCGACTTCTTCCCGATATGAGGTGGAAAATCTAACTCGAAAAACTTCTACACCAACCTCTTCCTCTCATCAACACCCGTGCCGATGCTCATTGTTTCAACTAGAGAAGTGCCACAACGGATTCTACCTGCTGAAGTGCGCACTACGATTCAGACCATGATAATGTCCACGGCCAAAACCAGATCACATTTCTTCGAACTTCTGCCTCGCTTATCTATGTCACTGGATGAAGCCCACTCTCAAGAAGAGGCTTTATTTCGCAAAAAAAAACTCACAAAGGATGCATGTTTGATCAAAGCGCTTTTTATTGGGATGTGTATGTTGTTGAAGATCATGAAATGCTCTGATAGTTATCATTGCTCCATTAAAGAGCTAGAAAAAATATTACGAAAATTATTGTGCTACTTGCACATTCTTTTCTGCTTCAATAAACGCACATAGTTCTTCGTACATAAACGTTCCAGAGATAGATAGGACAGATTTAGAATCAGCGTTTTATGCCCTCAAAAACGGTATATATCCTAGAAAGGCCACTTTCACTAAACATGCTTCCATTGTCGGCCGTATGGAACTCACCAGACGGTTTCAAAGGTCATGTCTACCAGAAGTGCAGACTGCCTTCCGTCCTAATAGTCGACGAGAAAGCCTTTTACAATGTCGAAACACGCCATCTGTCAGCGCTAGTCAATCAGGGATTGGAATCGGCTCACGCGAGGACATTAGCCGACTGCTACAAGGACTGTACAACGACTATGCAGCTATTCCATCGCCCCTGACCATTCCACTTGGAAAAGGGGGTCCGACAGGCGACACAATTTCACCAAAGATGTTCAACGCGGCCTTGCAACGGGTGATGAAGTCCTAGTTTGGGGCGGGCCTCTGAAGGAAACCACCTACCCTGAGGGACCCGGAGCTTTGAGTCCACCTGTTTGACTCACTCAGTCGTCCCTCAGCGCTCTGTTACGCAGCTGTTCCGGCACAAACAACATTTTGTCGGACTTTGCAGTAGGGATATGAGAAAAATGTTCCGTCTTCGTGACCCAGGAAAGCGAAGCATCGATAGGCCGGTCACATCATAAGAACAAATGACAGATGGACATCAAGAAGATCAAAGTGAATTCCTCGCGCAGCAAAACGTCCGCGAGGAAAAGCAACAACGAGCTGGGCAGGCGTGTTCGTGTTTGTTCGTACGGATGATCTTGCTGAGAAACCAGCTGGATATTACTTTCACGTCTGGAATTCGTGGACGTAGCCACCAAAGGCAACCAAGAAGATGGTGGATGTCAGCAAAGGACAGTGAGCATTTGAAACTTCTATTCTGAGGCCTGCACATCACGTGAAGACGAGCCATCCAAGTATCTAACAAGGGAACCTACCCAACTTAGCTCGGCCTTTTAGCAAGGAACATATATGTTTTGAATCAACTTCAAACGCTGATTCCAAATTTGTTATTCCTAGCTGCCGAGTACTATTCCGAAGCGAGTTATGGACTGTTTCCTACGCGAAATTGGCATACTCATCGACTCAGGCATCACGGCATCATCAGTCAAGTGCTTATACACCTGCTTTAACTTCTTTTTAGTGAAAAAAGATTGGATTTATATTATTTCGATATCTCAGCACCTTTTTCTTGCAGGTTTTTATCTAGAGACAGACTCCCCATGTTCAATAGTATGCCAATTTGTCGCAGGAAAAAGCCCAAACTCGCTTCGGAATAGTACTCGGCAGCCAGGAACGACATATTTGGGATCAGCGTTTAGAGCTTATTCAGAACATATATGTCCCTTGCCAAAAGGCCGAGCTAAATTGATTAGCTTTCCTCATATGTAGTATTAGAATTTTCATGCTCTCTGAAAGCATGCGTTTTATTTCACGGGCGAAGCCAACCCACCGGTCCGTCGCCCATCCCCTTTTCTCCCTCCTCCCCCTCCCTAATCCTCCAGTTCCATCTCCCATCTCGCCCTTATAGCGTATCCCCTATTCCCGCTCCCCTTTACGGAAAATGAAGTGAAGAGGAGGTTAAGCATGATGAATCGAACGTGCAGTGAAATTGGAGCATTTACGCGTTGGTCTCCCTAGTGGTGAAAATGAAACCTTCGCGCGTTGCTTTGCTCGTTTTGCGGTAGTAGTGGAATTGCGCAACAATGATATATCCTAAGGGCTCAAAAAAGGCCACCCTCCTGTTGGGCCCTGAGAACAATGTACGAAATTTAAGAAATCATGGGAGCAAAAATTGTTTGCAGCTCATCTGGTACCCAATTGCAACGGTTCCAGCAAATTTGAGAAATAGCTGGGCACCGCTTCCATAAGGCATAAATTTTTTTTGCTATACCGAGTCCCCTCAGATGCGTACGCACACCAAATCTGGGTCATATCATTGCGTTTATCTTGTAAACAAGGTATTGTTTGTTTGAGGCTTAATTTGGAATTTGCGCCATGCGCGAAAAATTCGAGCATGCAATGGCCCTATCTCGACTTTTCAAACCGATAAGGATGTTTGGATGTAAATTTCTGAAGGTTTCGACGTGACAAACTTTTCTGTGATTTTTTTCTGAGCTTCGCCTAGGACTCCGCTACAACTGGCTTGGTTCCAGCTGCGTTGGGTTCTGCCAAAAAGTCAATCAATCTTGGCTGAATGCTCAAAGATCGT